AGTTTAATTGCATCTACGGAACCTTCCCTGTTTCATGGTTGGCCAGAAGCCACACTCCAAACCGTGTTGAGCTGCCCTTATTTTCGTTCGGGAAAAAGGCACAAAAATTCAGCGCACACAATATTTACCACATTCAGCTTACAAGAAAACGCAAACCTCTATTCAGCACAGGTGCATGCGTTCATTACCTTTCGGTTAGTGATTGAGGTATTTTACTGGCTGGCTTGCCGAACAACCGCCTCGTGGTGCCAACTGGGTGGTTCGGGATTTTCCCGTTCAAGCAAATAGTTCAGCGGCAGTGTTCAAGGACGTGGTGGGTTTCCACCTGGCAAGCGTTCTCCTTATAAAAAGCCACATATGTCCGTTTAACAACACTGTGACTTGGCGGATGTGACTCGCTACTAAATAAAGTCACTGCCCCTTGCTTCATCCTGGCGAAGCATTGTATTCCAGCAAGGCGTATGAACCGAGCAATCAGTCACCGGCTCCCAATGGGCGCGATTCCCTGAATTCGCTCCGCTGCCTTGCGAGTAGTATTTTCAGCCAAAGGCTAGCGGTGGTGTCCCCTAAGTCAACACCCTACTTCAGCTTGGGCAACTGGGTAGTATCTCGTCCTCTGACGAAACCACGTTCCTATGAACTAGGTAATCGAGGAATGGCAGTGTGCCACTGCAAGATTCTGGTTCCATAGTAGAGCTTATGTTTTCATTGATGAAGTTCAGACGGTTTAGAAACACATCATTCATATTTGTTTTATACTCACAAATGTATCATGCACGTAGCTCCACCAAATCTTTGGCAAACTACTGGAGTTTTTCAGCTTCCTTCTCTCAAAATCTTCCATACATAGATCTGCCAATACGGAGGATATTGGTGACCCCCATGGTAAGTCCCTGTTCCTGAGAGTAGTCTCGACTGGAAAGTGAAATAAGACATACTAAAGCATAATTTAATTCCATCGATTATCCGGTCTACCGGGAGTTTCGTGGGCTACTCTAGGCTATTGTCTTCAGTAAGACAACGCTGTGCCATACCCAGTGCATCATCTTTGGGCATGTTAGTGGATAGGGAGCTAACGTACAAACTAACCATTATTTTGTCTGGCGCGATGGCAAGACCTGCTATCTTTCGCGCCAACTCGTAGGAGTTCCGTACGAAGGTATTTGTTCTCTGTGTTAGAGGTTGCAAGCAATCTGCCAAATATCGGGCTGGTTGGTGCGTTGGAGAACAGACACCATCTACAATGAGCCAAACGGGAACTTCTGGCTTATGTATTTTCCGTAGCCCATACATCCTAGGTCGAATCGTTGATTTCGGATATACGCTATACCATTTTCTCGGCTCTAGGTTGTCCTTTACACTTCTCAGGTAGTTTCCCACCTCAGTTTTATACTTATTCATTATGGACGATAAGGATATTTGATCAATTGCTTCGTAGGGCAATGCTACTAAATGCTGTTCCACTTTTTCCACCTAATTCGATTTGTTCGTTATCACTATGGTCTTGCCTTTGTCGGCTTTTATGATGATGTTGGTGGGATCTTCCCTCTAGGAGTTTCATGCAGTACGCTTCGCTGTTGTAATAGTTAGTTCCCCAGGCTTCTGAAATCTGATGGTGTCTACCACTTGTGCACGAATATTCTCAGCTGTTGCTACTGGTAGTTGCGTCAGCACGGTCTCAACGCTAGTAATAATTTTCTCTGCAGTTAGTTTAGACTCAGTTACAGACAACTTCAAACGCATGTTCATTAAAATACGTTCCGTCTCGTTCAACAACCTATCCGACATATTAACTACATTGTACTAGTTACTGCTAGATTCAGACCTATCTACGAGACTAGTGGTTCTGCTATGCATAGATATCAAATGATCTAACTTACAAACTTGTCTTTGTTTCGCAGCTATCCCTTGCGTTGATCTCACTTCCGAGACCTTGTTGTAAAGTCTATCATAGTCTGTCTGCGTTATAGCAGTCTGAATTTCCCTGCATAGCCGATTAGCATGAAGGCGGATTACATTCAGTCATCGTGTTGTCATATAAATGGTTTGTCTTAGAGGTGTTTTGTTTGCGTTGAAGGCTGTTTTGCTAAATCTGTAACTACTGTCCGGTGGTTTGGCAGCGAGGCTTTTATGAATAAACCCATATTTGAGACATATCAGGTCGAAGATACGATGATTTTCCCAATTCGCTTCAACACTAGGCAAACGCACTAATTCACTAGTCAGTATTCGTACACGTGGTCCTTATAGTGATTCAATTTCTCAGCATATGCTAGGAACCTACAGGGATCTTATAATTTCTAAATGTTTTGTATACAAATGACTAGTGATGACAGAGCATCCAGACCACAAGATTTGTTTGCTTTTAATTATTTTGTTCCTTGTGAACGTCTCCTTGATCTAAGGGCCCAGCTAGAGGCAAGAAATTTGACCTTGGTGACACGGAACTTAACTCAGTTTTCAGTTTGCTCACGTCCACTTCATATGTTATCATCTATTAGTGCACAAGCAGATCACACCTCTTCGACTTTTGATCGGTGAACTGCTGTTATCGAACACGTTGCAGACTTGGATACAAAAGCTGGATTAACTGGGATATTGGAAATAGTGTAGTCGACCAAAGTGCCCCCTCCCGCAGCAAGTCTAATGGATTACAGCTTCCATTGACTAGGCGTGACCGTGTTGCGCCGCGCCTAAACATTGTTGCGTCGCATATAGTGGTGAAGGTCTCACTGAATGCATTTGTGCACATTGTCGCAAAACGTTGTTATTCGCAACATAGCATTGCCAGCTTTGTGCGAATGCAGTAGTGTTAAGGTATTTGAAATACGATGATGGTATGCGAGTGTTCTCCGAGCTAGCTGATTTGGCTGCAAACGTTTCATCTTCAGGCTAGACGACATCATCAGTTCGATTTATGCGAGCCACTTACAGATCTGAAATGCTTATGAGCAAAAGCGTTCATAAGCATTGGTTGTTAAGATGCAGCTGAAAGACAAGCCAAGTCAAACACAAGTCGCGTAGCTCAAGTTCATTAGAAACATAATGTCTATTAGTAGCCCAACTAACGCAAAATTACCAGCTTTGTCTGGAGACTAAAGAGTTTGATTTTCTGAAGCCATTAAGAAGAACCCGGTGGCGTAATCTGCAGTTGTGACAGTTAGTTGGTCTAAGGTCGAGGACTGGTTTAATGTCTGTTGACTTTGAGCTGCAGAGAATGTCAATCACTTGTGACCCGGTAGCTGTTTTGTACCGCATAGAGTTGAAAGCGCAGAGAAATGACGAACCATGATAAACAACAAAAGTTTCTGTTATACTGGAAAAACTTACAGTCCAGACCTCTGTTATAAATACGAAAGCCTACGGGAAACTTCTTTTAATTAAGTGCAAAGGTTTCGAAGCAAAAATGTCTAATAATAATGATAAGATGGCTAGAATGCATATAGCAGATGACGTTCATCGGGGTGCCAATTTGGTTGTGGCGAAGGAGATTAAATCGGTTTTGGACTCTGATTGACTATTGAGTTCTAGGTTGATAACGAATTAAGTGGGACTTCTCTAACCCGTTGTGTGTAAAATTGCTCCGAGAGAAATGTGGAAAGTTTGTACAAGGTGGTACATAACGTTTGAGCGATAAACAATAAACAACATTCTGTGGATTTATTGTAAATACTTGTACCCTGTGAAGAGTAAATTTTGTTCTTTCGAAAGATAATAACCAGTGATAAAACGGGGGAGTTTGCGTACGATCCGAAGACTGAAAGACAAATGTTAACGACGCACTGCAGTGCATCCTAGATTATAGAGAGACTACTGTACAAATTAAGGATGAAACAGTTGCCAATTTTCTGGAAGACTTCAAAATACATGTCCGTCGAGAACCTGTATCGCCCTAAAAATTGTTTACCACTTCATTTTGCTTGGAAGTGCGTAATCGGTCAGAGAAAAATTAGGCGCTTAGGCTCGGCGATAGTCAGCATTTGGGTTTGGCTCCAAGACAACACGCGGGCTCACGACTTCCTGATACAGAGCGAATCTCTGATGAAGCAGACTGCCGCAGCTTTGCTCTAGCCTTCCTTAAATGTTTAGAGTTAGCTCCTGCAAACCTATTTGGTTCCCAAGTCTCAAATCCGGCTCGTAAATATATACCATATTGTGGCTATTAAAAACGTGCGTGCTACCGTGTTGTTTTGATTGGAAGTGATAGCTGCTGGCGACTTTAAAGTAAGCAACAAAGCCTGCAGTACCACTGTAATAGATTATTGAGAATGAAGAACGCTATTTAACAAACTTTATTTAATGTAAGTCTGTCTTAAACGGGTTTTATTTAAGCGGTCGTTGCAGAACACAGTTCTTCAGGGACAAGCTTTTATTCGGCAAAGACAGCTCAGCGAAAATTACAGCAGGTTTAGCAAGCCAAACTCCTCTATACAAATTGTAGGTTCATGTCCATATTTAACGACCCTTCTGAGTCGAGGAGGTTTCTCCTTTTCTTCAGTTAAACAATCGGTGAATCCCTCACACGAATATCAGCCAATCCGAGTCTACTAATGGAATCCGTCACGTCCACCTCTCATTGGCCGTCTAGCTTACTCAGTTAGTCCATCTGCTTACTCTGATCAGAAATTACCCTCACAGCAGTATCCTTACATTCCGGAAGCGCTATGCACATTGGACCAGGGGTTAACTGAGAACCGGAATATCCAGAATTGAGCCCGCTTAACGCATACATATTTCCCTCTTTGTTAATAGCGAAGCTTAGATTCCTGCTAAGTCTAATAAGTGCTTGCGGTGTGCCGAGTGCTCGAAGTAAGGTATGCATTGGTCCACAACGAAGTTCCTGTCAAAGACTAGTTCCTTCAAGCAACGATCCTTCAGATTAACTGAGCCATCGGACGTATAGTTGGTCAGTAAACCATATTTGGGCGCTTTAGATCGTAGACTTTAAGTAACCAATTGGAATCGCATCATCTTTACAGGTTAGAAGAGAACAAGCGGCGCCGATAGCTTTGCACACTATGTATTTTACTTGAAAAATAAAGCAAAAGTGAACAGAGCGCAACCTATTTGATGGGGTTGCAAGTGCAAGGGTGGTAACATCTCTCGCGGCAACAGTTGCTTGTCACTCCCATTTGGAAATGACCTGAAAGAGGAAAGAGGTAATGATACTATATTGTGTAACGGGAATTTAGGTTGGAGCTTTGAATATATAAATTACTATGAAACAGCTAAACGCATCTGACAAAGGTGGGGCTCTAAAACGTTGGCGCAACAGTCACCTTTCGTACGGTACTCACCTGCTTACCAGCGGCCACCCCGTCCGCCGCCCCAGCCTCCTCCTCGACGGCCACCCCAGCCGCCGCCGCCCCAGCCACCGCCCCATCCATGGCGCTTTTTATCCTCATTGTCATCCTTGTCGTCGTCTTTATCTTTCTTCCTATCGTCTCCCTGCTTCTTCTGACCCGACTGAACTGTTGACGTCTGTGGTCTTGGTCTAGCGGTTTGGCTCCCTTGCTGGCGTTTATCCCAGTCATCACCCCAGTCTCGCTTACGCCAATCGTCGTCCCCATCATTCCAATCATCCCACTGCCTCTTACTCTGTTCTTGTCCCATTGCACACCAGCTAGCCAGTACCAAGAAGGAGAGGAGGAAGACGAGTCGGAAGTTCAGAGAGAGCTGAAAAGACACCAGAATGAAAGTATTTGTCTTGCACATAAGCGTTGGACAAAAAAGTAGGATGGGTCACCAAAGTCCACTCAAACCCATGCATGTGAAGAACTGGTTGAAGTAGTATCACGCATTCTCTCCAGACCACAGTCTCACTTACCATTATTCGCTGTGCTGTTTCTTTGAAGGAAATCGACAGCCGCTAGCCTCTTTTATACCAAGTGCTTATAGTCACAGCCCGGAATTACACACGTCTAATTAATATGTCAATCTGGTACTTTTCATAACGTGGTCGATTTCAGAGCAAATTCACTTAGATGCTAAAGGTAATCTCATTAGCCTGGTAACTGATCGGGGTCATAATTACAATGGCACGCGTTCTGAGCTTGAGGTGACTACTGATTGGCAGGCAACAGCAGAGCATTTTCAACGTTTTCCGCGGTTGTGTATGCACTTTCTGTTAATCGCTCATCTCACCTACGTGTCATAATTGCGTAATCGTGTAAGCCACTAGTTCCGATCATAGAGGGTTACTTGTGACAAGGAAACTAATCTTGTTCCGCCTCACAGCATGAATCCACCCACCGCCTGAAAACTTAATTCTAGTGACCCATTTTAATTAGTGAAAATTATCTTGAAATACTCGTTATGTGAATAGATTGGGACGCACCGTCTCATGGTGAACCGCAATTTCCACTGAAGTGAACCTTGGTCAATTCAATTACCGGGGCTGTAACAGATGATGCAGCTGAACACTGGGTGCCTCCCGTCGCAAAATGCTACACACCGGAACGCGTTAAGATCTTGTTTGAACTCATCCGCTACAGATAGTAGGCTTCGAAGCCGGGACCACTGGGACTTTAGCCGCCGGGTTCTAAAGAAGCAACGCTCGGCACAACGGCCATTATGAAGTACACGATGTGTGGAGGGATTGCGATGCGCAATCCACCAGTGAACAACGAATCACCTTGAAGTGAACATTGGGCCCGTCCGATCACTAAGACTGTAGCTGGTGGAGAGAAAAATAGCGTTTGGCACTACAAATGAGAACATTGAGAATACACATGTGAAACCAAACTAAGCCAACAAATAAATTAATAAACGCTTTATTCTCGACGGTACATTACATGCCTTCAAAGACACCATCATGGTAATACAAAGGCATAACATCAGTAAGGATACAGAAATGTTACGATTGAACCAGTGCATACTGGATATATATGTGTGTGTGGGTGTCTAGTATGTAAGTCGGTGCATGTGTAACTAATCTTGTGGTGTGAATTTGTTAGTATTACTGTGGATTTGTGAGTTTGTTCGGTGGATGTATCAATGTAAGAAGGGACCAAATGAAATCGTTAAAGTGATCGACGTTCGCGAAACCTGTAAGATCATCAGGTATGGCAAAGCAGTTACCCTATTTAGTGGCGAGTCATATCAGCCACGTCACAGTGTTGTTAAGCAGACAGTTGAGGATGAAGTAGTATCATGTCAATTTTGCACCGTAATATCTCATCTTCAAAACTAGAGGAAATCTTCCGTTTGTATGCTAGCCTATTCGGCTAAAAGAATTCCCATGTGTAGTGTCAACATGTGAAACCTAATCAGATGTAGGCATAGCAAACGAGTGCGACAGGCCTACGCCGAGCCAAACCGCACCAGTTAGATGTCGCTTGGCGACGCATGCAGAGGCGGGTAGCGTGATAAGTTACACTGTACGGTTCTGTCTCGTGATGTCAATATACGTAGCAGATGATAAATGGGGCAGACATTCCAAATCTTTCTACCGAGTGAATATTGCACTGAATTAAGCCTGTGGATCCTATGACAACAGCAATGAAGACGTCGGTGTGCACGATGGCACGATGTTTATTATCTTGATAACAAGTGTTGGAAAAACCCGACGAATAAAATGCCTTTTCTGAATTTGAAAGACTATATAATGGCCACATGAGGTAGCGAAATGATGGTATCATTAACCACGCCGAAAGTAACTACTTGTCAAATAGATTACCTGTATTTGTCTTCCAGATATACTAGCGGGATGGCACGGCCCTCCCAAGCCCAACGAACCTCACTGTTGTCAGTACACTATCCGACCCGAACAACACGGCTGCTATGCGGAGAACCAAACTACTCAGTTCAGAGCTGAGCTCTCCATACGGAAACTGCCGCCAAGGATGCACTCATCTGCACAGATCCCAACGGAGTTTCCTCAATGATAATACAGTATAGTTTTCACTGAACACGCCCCAGTCTAAGTATCGTGTCTCTCGGACAGTTTCCAATTTAAATGCCTGCCTTCTGAGAAGTGTTATTGCCATTGCCTTACCCACCAAGCACATTCACCAAGTGTGTGATGTCTAACGTCTCAACGGCATCGAACCCACCCCATCTCTGCCCGGAGATAGGACCACGACATGGCAACTCTTGTGCCAACAAACATTCGCCTGTCCTTATAGTTTATACAATTACTGCTGTTTAGTGAATGAGAAATTTGAAGGTGTAGAATGCACGGTTGCCTTGACTGAGTCAGTAAAAGCATTCTTACCATTGGCCAGTCTTTTTACTGCGGGTCTCGGTACCGTTGTGTGGCGTTTACGCGTTCCGTCCGTTTTCTCAGGTACGAGTTCAGGTCTGTCGGGTAAGTCCAAAAGCCGTTCCAAATCGAATCGTCTAGGCTACTCTACGCGTGAGAACCATTTAGTGAAGGGGTTCCTCCGTTCCGAATAGAACTGTCGAAACCTAACAAGGACGTTTATAACCAGATGCTTTCATAAGTTTCCAGGTTACATATTCTGTTAGAAGTCACAGCTAGTGATTTCTGTAAGTCGACCATTGATCCCTGAATGTCATCCTCTAGTGAATCGTCAAAAATATCCAGGTTTTCGGACATAATGGAAGCGGATGGTCAATAATAATATTATTAATACTACTAATGATTTTACTAAAGGTAAATAATTATCTGGCACAGTCAAAGCAATACGAATAGCGTGACCTAGAAATACACGATAACCATTGACCTATGGGTGGGAGAACTTTGTTGGTAGGAACTCAAGTTAATGATAAGCCCAAAGCCAATGTAGCTCAGACAAGCGGGCAACAGAGGTCATCCCTGAATCACGTCCTGGATAAGTGCCAATTATTATGACGGGACAAAAGCAAACTTACGAAAAGAGCAGACTACCGATAAATAGTTTGTGGTTCTGTGATGCACGCTCAGATAATCGCATGGTTAGAATTGTTCAAACGTTTAAGGCAAGGTGTGGAACGCCAGCTGTCACGTCAGCAATGCAAAAGGAATTATTCACGATCTTGGGACGGAAAGTTTCAACTCGAATCGCAGAGTATTGTATTACTTAGTTTTGCTCTCAGACTGATTAGAAAGAAAACTATCTAGCAAAATTGTTACGAATTCCGGCGAGAAGCGCACACCAACTGTAACAAACAGCATTGAGGACAAGCCGATTGAACGGCCCCCAAGATCCCATGAAATGACGCAAGACATGATGAATTATGTAGAAATTGCACGATACCCTCCATTATTAGCTGAGTACCAACACTTGACTCTTGCAAATAGTGCGACCAACTGCGTTGAACATAAACAATTTTTCTGTATGCTTTGTCTGCCTTCCACACAAGACAAGTTTAACGCTCTCGCGTAACAAATCTCCGCTCACAAGGAACCGAAGAATAAACAGCTACTGCGCAAACAAAAGAGGACGACAATAAAATGTTCACATGCCACAGAACCTATTAGCAAATTGTTAGAATGTAGACAAACCAAGGAGCTGCAGTGAGATAAGCTACGTAATCTGTCTGAATTTTCGCCCAATTAGTCGTATACTTCTATCACGGAATCCATATTCTCTGCATGGAACAATGGAACAATTGTATCATACGGATAACAAGCCAAGGCTTGACAAGTCCCGTGGGATGGTTTGTGGGAATAACGTTAGTTCAATGAAGTTGAAAAATAGAGAAAACCATATCTGTGGACTCATCATATGATCCACCTTAACACATAGGTGCATCCGGCTACCCCGATTTCGTGGGGTTGGTGAGCACAATGTTGGTCTGCTTCTTGTCGTCACCCAATGAATAGAAATAAGATCAAGTAATGTAACTGGTGTAAAGCATCTTCGAGCCATTGTTTAAAAGTGGGTAGCGTGTGCGTGAAAATGGAAAAAGTGGGGAGTGAGTTCCACGGCTGATACACTCGAAGGGCAGAATGATTCCGGTGGCAACTTTCAAGTTAGGAATCCCCCCCCCCCAATACTGTGTTGCAGGAAGCTTCAGGAGGTGGCGGCAAGCGTGACGGAGGTTTTTCAAAATATGGAACGTCAAGGTAAGGTCAACCCTTGGACGGCGATGTCTTCCGCTCTAAACTACCAGAGCTTTCAGTCGCCTATGTTATTGCAGGTGGGGCAAACCCTTCAAATTTTTCTTCGCCGGTCGCTTGGCGGTCTCAAGTGCAACTAGATCGCGTTGTAACCAGAGTCGCCAAGCCTGGTTAGTGTACTCTACGTGAGGCCTCACTTACGCGTTGGACATTTGGGGAAGTTGGAGGGATCGAACCTCCCGAACACGTACTGTAACCTACCAACATGTTGGTTCGCGGTTTTGGACGCCTTCAAGGTCTGCGCCGAACCGCCGACGTCGTCTTGGATGATCACAACATGGTCTCGCTCTTGTGAGGCGGTGTGCAGCATTTCGTCTCCCAGCTTATATGCGTCCATGGGCTTGTGGCAGACACGCACGATTTTGCACTTGTCCGTGTTATACAGATAGTCTAAGTCTCGTTGCAACATATCGTGATCTGCATGACAGTCACTTACTTTCCATATCTTGATATCATCAGTAAAAAGCCGGAAATTTGACTTGATGGCAGTCACGAAGTCGTTAATGAAGAACAACAGCAAACCCGGCTTCAACAGCGACCCATGTGGAACACCGTAATCCACACCAATTGGATCAGAAAACGCACCACAAACTCGAACCTGAAGGCGCCGCTGAAAGTGGGAGTTCTCGATCCATTCAAGAACAGGGTTTCCAACTCCGTATGCTTACAGCTTTTAGAGAAGGATGCGGTGATCTATGCGGTCGAATCCTTTAGAAAGTTTAGGTAGATGATATCAATGCCGGTCCCACTGTCGGCTATCTCGGTCCAACTGCCACGGGCAAGCAGTAGGTTGGTAGTACATGTCTGATGCTGATGGAATCCGTGTTTCTCCGGTGCTATGAT